CTCACCTGGGGTGCGCCTTCAATGCCCAGCTGCAGGACAGCCTGGCCCTCCTCCAGTGGGAGGCACCTGATGGACCTGATCTGCTTGAACTCAGCCAGGCAGGTGGGCTGTGGAGAAGAAGGGGGCCTTAAGAGCATCCCATTGCTGGGATCAGGCAATACAGATGGGTGAGGAGCGGGAGGGAGGAGTGACTGGGAGTCTCTCTGCAGATGAAGGGAGGAAAGTCTGGAAGGATCATTGAGTCCAAGCCCCTCACCTTTCAGAAGAGAAAACGGGGTGTGGAGAAAGGCAGGACTTGCCCAAGGTCATACGTCAAGGTGGCAGTCGAGTCAGAACTGGACCCAGAACTGCCTCCCCTTGCCACTTACAGAGCTACTCCTCTCTCTGTACCAGGAGAACGCCAAGCACGTCCTTTTCTCTCTCTCTGCACCTATGTCTGCAATGAGGAGCATCTGCCCAAGCTGCCATCCCCAAACACTGTCCACAGAGCTCACGCCAAGGGCGTGGCTCTCTGCTCTCAGCAATGGGGAAGAGGAATGATTGGGCAAACAGAGAAGGAGTTGGAAATCTAAGACCCTGAGCCAGGGGCTGGTGTGGCCTCAGTGCTCTCTACCTTCGCATCTTGACTTGTCAGCTGGCGGATGCCTTTGGGGCCAATGACCAGGTCCACTGTAATGTTCCACCCTTGCTGGAATAGAGGAGAGAGGGGACTGTTACCTCTGCTCTGCCACCTGGTGTGTTGATACTCAAAGAGAGGCTCACTAAGCTACACTCCACCACACAGCTCACCCCTCTGGATAACTGCCCACCTGCCCATCTCCCACAGCCGGAGGCCAACATTCAGCTCCCTGCCCGGCACATGGATTCACACGAGTTCTGCCATAGGCAGGTAACAGCAGGGCCCTGCTGCCCGAGCTCTGTTCCTGTCCCCCGAATAGCTCCCTGGCCCCCTAGCCTGCCAGCCTGGAGAGAATGAGGAGGGTGGTCATTACAACAAGTTCACAGCGATAGGTCTCCTGATCGATGTTGGCAAAGCCCGCCAGGGTGTTGAAGAACTTCATGACACACTCCTCCTCCCGGAGCGAGGCGTACTGCTGGAAGGTCTGCTGGATCATCTTCCGGAACTGCTTGGGCTGGGGAGAGGTCGGCAGTGCTGAGCCAGGCCCTGCCCCTCCTGGCACCTGTCCTTCCACTAGGTCTCACTGAGAGGATGCCCATGCTGGAAG